AATTCTGTCAGTTACTCACCTTAAAGTTGTTCCAAACCCGTAAGCCCTTTGTTTATCCTTGGAACACAAATTAAAATAGTTTTGATGAAATCTGAGAGCTTTCTGACCATCCATAGACAGCAAAGGAACTACCACGTTCAAGACCCAGAAAGGTAGTTAGGACATTGGTAAAGTAGTCCATGTGACATCAGTGGTTCACCCTTAATTTTATGAAGCTACGATAATATTTTAAATGATACATTTTGTGCGCAAAGATAACAAAAATGATGACTTCATTCAACAATTTCATTTCATTTTTTCATTTATTTGATTTAATCAGGAACAATGCACATTAATAGTACATACAATATGTAAAATGCGCCAGATTTAGCCAACACTGGCTAATTTTCATTCATAGTCCCTTTTGGCAAGTCGATGTTAAGGACAGGAAGAAAATATAAACAAAGAATATTAATACACCAAATTAATAACAAGGAAAAAATATGAAAACAGAAGGAAAAAATAAACTAACATAATGAAACACAAAATTACAGACTACCGTACCATATCCATAAATCACTATAAATGATCACAATTCTGATGGGTCAATAACCATATTTTGAGAAACCACAGTGTCCTGTTAAGTGTTTTAATTATTTCAGCTCTACTGGGAGTCTATTCCACTCATGTGCTCCTCTAAAAGCAAAAGATAATTGACCAAAGGTAGTTCTTCTTAATGGCACGTTACAATCACCTCTAATACCGCCACGTGTATACCATCCTGTTATCTGATCAATGTAATCCTTAAAAACAGGTGGAGCAAAACCATTAAAGATCTTAAAAATAAGTATCAAATCAGCAAATTGAATCAAATGTTCCCAACTTAAAATAGAAAACTTAGTTAATATGCTACAATGGTGAAAACTGTTTTTTTTTTTAATCCAAGACCTTAAGAGTTTGTTTGTAAATTATTTCAACTGGTTTAAGAAAAGACCTACATGTTTGAGTCCAGGTAGTCATACAATATGTGATGAGGAATAACCATTGAATTCATGAATAGAACTATTTAAATTCATGTACTACCTCAAGTTTTTGTTCCTGGACAAATACATCTGCTTTCACATCATAATCTGGCCTTTTACTAAAAAACATACAAACAGTTTTTCTGACATTAAGATGTAAACGTGAGTTGATAAGCTATTGTGCGACCTGATTCATAGTGTCAGTCAATTTCTGTGCAGCCTGTTGTTGACTTTTTGCATGTACATACAACACAACATCATCCGCATACATTTGGCAAATAACATCTGGAGGACATACATTTGGTAAATCATTTACATACATAGTAAACAATAATTGGCCTAAAATAGAACCTTGCGGAACTACAGTATTAAAATCCAAGTAATCTGATGTCGCATTTATAACCCGCACACATTGTTTTCTATTTTCTAAATAATATTTAAACCACATAACAGTTGAAAAATTTTAATTTAATAACCGAGAAAGTAAAATCTCATGATTTACAGTTTCAAAAGCTTTCTTAAAATCCAGGAATACAGCACCAACTACACCTCCTTTATCCATCAAAGATTTAATATTTTCCATACTTGAATACTTATTGGTCTGTAATTATTAATTTCTTCTCTTCCGTGTCAGTCGGCGCTCGTTTATGACACCATAACATATGCATGTGCATTACTCTGCTTGCAAACAGGTCTCAGCCATCTGGGTTTACGTCAGAACGCCGGCTCCTGTGTCAGCAGCACGACATGCATGCGTCATGGTACTCTCATGAATGCGTGTCAACTGACACAGAAGAGAAGAAATTGTTGAATAAAGTTATTTTTGTTTTTTTTGCACACAGAAAGTATTCTCGTAGCTTCATAAAATTACAGTTACATGGATTATATTAATTATGTACCTACTACCTTTTTGGGCCTTGAACGTGGTAGTTACGTTGCTGTCTATGCAGGGCCAGAAAGCTCTCGGATTTCCTCAAAAATATGTTAATTTGTGTTCCAAGTATACACAAAGGGCTTACGGGTTTGAAATGACATGAGGGTGAGTAATTAATGACAGAATTTTCATTTTTAATCTGTCACATTTTAAAGCCATTTTAATAGTTCTGTCTCAGAGGGCCAACTAGGGGGCAAACCAATTGATTTGGGGATCCCTTTGCACCATGTTGATTCCAAGTCCATTCCAGTTGTTCAATGTCAATCCATTAACATGCACTGATGAGTTGTTTTGCTGGGGGTGGTGAACGTTGGCCTTCAACAACAAATGACAACCTTTCACACACAATACAAGCTGAATGATTTGCCTCATAAAAATGCATCTTTTACTTATTAGGGCGAGGATATGCAAAATGTTTGCACGTTATCTTGTTCTTTTCACCCTAGCCTCTCTCTCACCCCTCCCCTCCTATCTCTCAGTTCCTCTCTCTCACTCCCACTCTCAAACATGCATGTTTTCTCCCTCCCTCGCTCTTCCTCTCTCCGCAGTAAATAAAAGATTAAATGAGTGTTCTAAAAACACACACTGGTCACCAGAAGATAATTGTTTCAGCTTTGTTTACTGTGCGTGAGTGTTTTCTCTCTCTCTTCTCTCCTCCCCCTCATCTTTTTTTCTTTTTCATTGTGCACCATAATTAAAATTCCTTTATTTTCAAAGAAGTTTTACAAGAAGAAGCTAAATTGCCTTTTTTGTGTGTTTGTTGCTGTCATTAGCCCACTGTTGTATTTTAGGAAGAATGAGAAAGGAGAAAAAGAGAAAGCAGTGGAGAGAGAGAGAAACTCACTCCGAATGTCCTTGGGAATGACAGGAAGATCCACTTCATAGCATGTTTATTCAGTTCATGCTGTCCTTTCACCAATCTCTCTTCTATTGCAACCCATCTCCTTTCCTCTCTCTCTTTTTAGAAAAGATCAGCTCAAAGTCATTTAGTCTCAAGGGTTTGAACCTCTTCTGATGTGCTGAAATTAGAACTATACTCATTTGTTGCATTGTTGATGATCCTAATTGACACTATGCAGAATTTTTTTTAGATCGACAAATCTGCACATATAACAAAGGACGTGGATATAGTGATTCCCTAATGGGTCTGAACCGTCTATGCTTAACCATGCCTATCAGCAGACAAGCACAATAAATATGAATTTCCGGAGCATGTGAGAATGGTGCCATTGATGTTCTGCAATCACCCTCCCTTTCCGGTCTATTTTATTTTCCCCAAACACTGCATTTGGAAAACAGACAGGGAGCTTGTTATTAAAAAGGTGACAATGAGATTTTGAGCTAAAATTTGCCACATGCCTCTTTTGTAACCCATGCACGATCAAGGCAATCTGACACCAGCTGACTGTGAATTGCCACCAGAGGCCTGATGCCAGCAGACTCATCCTGTGCTGCCACTGCAGAAAAGGAAACAGCAAATTAATATTCAACTATAGACTAGAATAGAAATACATAGATTTAGTGGCAGTAACACTAGTTCCTTAAAACACTGTTTTTAATCCCAAAGCACTAAAAAGATTTAGGCTAAATGGGTAAGTTGATGATCTCTGATTAGAAACATTATTTTGAGCGTCTGTGCAATGGTGCGCATGTTCTGCCGCACTGAGCTGTGATGCTCAAATGGATGATTTGAGTTTGAATTTGGCTTGCAACATTTCCAAAGACCAAAAAAAATGCTTTGCATTTCAGCACCTATGACTTCCACACATACATACCTCTCCGTTTCGATCCTGCGTTCCTTCTGCTTTTGCTTAGTCAGGCACTCATAATTGAATCTCAGGTTAAGATTACTTCTAGCAGCCACACTTGACTCGGTCAAAAACAACTATTACAGAGATCCAATGTTTTTTTTACACGGCTCTTCACATTGATTAGGCAATGTGCTGCCATGAGAAATGCACTGGATTCTAAATGACAGTCATTTGCATTAAATAAGGAGTGTGGGGCACTGGGGACCTTGCCTGCCTGAATTGCATTGGAGCTAGAAGGAAATCACACAGCGCTATGGGTTTCATTCGCTGTGTGTTATAGTCAACACACGTGTGATTCAAACATGTTTCATCAACTGTTCTGTATCACATAAAATAGGAAGACTTTCTTTTCTTTCTCTTTAGCTAACAATTGTATTCACTTGACCCATCTAACAAGAGAACTAGTTAGCTATGTTTCATTGACAGTTCATATAATAATTCTTTTTTGAAATATATATTTTATATATTTATTTTAATCAATTATTTCAGTTGACGTGTGCATTCAGTTTTTTGTGTGCATTAAAAGATGTCTATGGAAATTAAGATATTGTTAAATGTTTAAATTGTTAAATATTTTTCAAAAATTAAAAAGAAAATTAGTTTTCTTCCTTCATAACATCAAGCATGTCTTTGATGGCAATAAATATGGCAAGTTTTGCATTTACACTGAAAACATTTACTTTGAAAACTTTAATTTAGGAATTATTAGTAAATTTCACAAAAAAACACAAAGAAACTGCAAGTAACATTCAAATTAAGCATTAAATGCTGAAGAAGAAGGACTGAAATTGTATATTCTTACTAAATGTACTATATTAGTAATCTTTTATTTACCACAACGAAAAGTAAGGTAATAATGGATATGAACTGCTCTTTCTTTCTTAGACTAAATTTTGTACTGAAAGATTTAACCAGCATAGATGTCTATGCCGATCCAAGTTGGTTTGTACTTGTTAGTTTTGATGCTGGTCTAAATGATGGACCAGCATAGACATAATGTTCATTCTTTAACACAAAATAGCCAAGCTGGTTGAGTTAGCTAGGAAGCCCAGTGGTCCACCAGCATTGCATGCTATGGACCAGCATACAAAACACAACATATGCTGGTGACCAGCTATGCGGGTCTTTTCAACAGGGTTGGAGTTCTAAGAAAAAAACACATAGACGTAAATCAGCTGGACACAAAAAAGATTAAAACAGATCTTGAACTCCAACTACCGTTAATGACTTGGGCTATTTTGAATTTCTTCATAGGTTTGACAGTGTGTCCTTTCTAATTCCCACTCTCCATCACTTAACCTCCTGGTCAGACAGAGGAACAGAGGGTGCTGGGAAAGAAGGGGTGAGTGAGGTAAGAAAGAAAGAAGGTCTATAAAAAAAAATTCTTTTTATTTTCAAATGAAAGGGCAAAAAAAAACGTTTTGCTTGCCTCCTCCTGAAGCGCTGTCAAACTCAATCAGCGGTGAGGACTGCTGATGGCTGTTCATTGGCCAGACTCTAGTTGTGGACAATAGAGTTTGCTGTGAGCCTCAGCGCACACACATACTGCGTTGCGCTCGCAGCCAATCACGGCTCTCTTAGAACAAGCCTGTCAGAGAACAGGGAACAAAACCCCAAAGACACGTATTTACCGCATAAACAGAAGGGCATAAACATTCACCACTTTCGCTGAAACCATTGTTCGACATAAAAGAGAAACCAATACAACTTCGCTAAATAACAACATTACGGCCACCTGCTTACAGTGCTGCCTCGTATCCGCAATGCACAGCAAAAACTCTGCCATAATCACAATTATAAACATAACACCTCCATAAAACAAGCACACAGACACACAAATCCACGTGTACACTCAAATGAAAATGGGTCTATAATATGAGTGGGGTAAAATGGCCTTGAGCCTCAAGCCCTTTGCTCAGAACCCAAAAAGGCCTTGAATAGACAAGCCTCAAATCACATTGTCGAACAAATCTGGTATTAAGAAGAGGAAGAGAAGACTTTGCCCCAATTTACCGTCTCTGAAGACTTTAGTTAAGCTAGTTACTCTGGAGCTTAGGTGGAGATGAGGGGGCTACGCTAGTGTGTGTGTGTGTGTGTGTGTATAAATCCCTCTTCGTGTTTCAGGGACTGGGAGAAGGGGCCACTGGTCGCCAGACGCCCAGAGTCTTGACACTCCTTCAACTTGAACCCCCCTCTTGCCAAGTCTGTGTTTACCCGCACCAAACAATAGGCCTGCTATTGGCAATTAAATGGCATTTGGAGATCCCTGGTGCAAGTTAATGGTATTACTGTTGTGATTCTTTCTCTGAATGGTGTGAGGGATTTCTTTCTGCACCAATAAAACACAGCTCACCGTCTTACCAGCATTACATAGCTTACCTAAGGCTTATGATTCACGGCTGCGTGATTACCGTTTGACTGTTTCTTTAAACGGCATAGTCACAGCTATGGCTGCCGGGCCAGTCTGCTGGATTGCCTCATATAGCCTCATTACCCATTTCATTTGTCTCGCCATGTTGCCTGTTGGTCGCGAGTTGCTGTTAATCTCCAAATTGAAATACATCAAATGCAGTCCTATGTGGCAGTGCGTTATTCGCCCACGTACTTGTTTAACTTTGACATTTTGTAACACCACTGTTCTTTTCCTTTTGCGTGTTTCATCTTTTAAAATCATAAATATGTAATGTTTGTGATACAAATATTTTGTCTTAGATTTTCTCTGATTTGAAAGGTTTTTTTTGGATGTGCACACACCACCTTATAAGTGTGACGAGTGTCGGAATGGTTTTGAGATACTGGCTTAATTTTTTTTCACTGGAAAGTCGTTGCTCACCCCGTCGGTATAGTGCCTTTTACTTCTAGGTTTCTTCTCAAACATCAGAAAATAACACTGAATGCATGTGCGGCACAAAAAAAGAGCAGTTATTTCTTCACTTTTTTACTTCTTCGTCTTAAGAATCCTTTCACAATATCTACTATAGCTCCCACCCTCCACTTTCGCCCTCTCTGTCCCTCATCACTTGTTTGCCCAGAGATCCTGTTTAGTGTGTCTTTTTCTCCCAGACAAGGGGCTTTGAGAGGAATATGAAAAGACAGATTTAAAGGTGAGAGGTGCTGGGGGGGAGGGAGGAGGGAGCGAGGGGCTGTACTATAATAGCTCTCCTGCTACATTCAGATACTTCGCTTTTTATCAACTGGAAGAGGAGGGGTTCACCAATATAAAAAAAAATCCTCCACAAGCAAAGGTCAAGTTTCTGAGGAGAGAGGAATTAAGCGGGGAAGAAAAATTCTGACTGTGTTTAACTGGCTAAATGGTTTTTACCCAAAAGATGACACAGCGCTGACCCTCAAAGTAATAGATATCTTCTTTATTAACTGAGAGAGTGTGAATATTCCTGCCACTATGCAAGAGCACTATGCATTGCTATTTCTAAACACGTAATGTCTTGATTTTGTTTGTTCATTTTTCCCGCAATTCTACAGAGGATAAGCAGTTTGGAGAATGGATGGATGGATGGATGTTTTTGTGTAGTTGTTTTATTTCCAACCTTTCTGATATTCTCTATTAAGAATAATAAAATGGGGAGAAAATTGAATAACAAGATCAAGGACTGATGCGAGTCAGATTCAAACTCATTTCTCCAGACTGAGCACTATAACTCAATGTGTCATGCATGCTAGTTTCAACTTCTCCATTTGTGTTAGAAAATCACTTAACAGTTATTCTGCTTATTTTTTTCTTTTCCAGTTTTCTTTTCCTTTTTTATTTTTAAACCAGCAATACATCTGTCAAAGGTGTTCCCTAAAACATGGCACCTAAATGTAACATCCAAGGCATAAAACTGGGTTTAGAAGCCTGTCTAAAATGCCAGAGGGGATATAACAATCAAAACTGTACACGTGTCTAGTTAAAGGAGCCAATTAAGTAATGACATAGCGGGGGAGTCAGGATCAACACTGCCTGAGGAAAACCCATCTGAGAAACACACACACACTTACACAGGGCTGTCATAGCCGCGGGCTCTTTCACCTCTCACACACTCAGTGTGTCAATAGCAGCTTAGTTTCATAAACCGTATTCTGTGTGGCATTATAGGGAATATTATTAATAACATTATCACTTTTTACCTGGTGAATGTGTCACTGGAAATGTGTAATGGGCTTCTGGATGCCACAAAATGTTATAATGAAGTGGAAATGGGCAAAAATTATTTTTTTGCCTTGAATTATATAGAACCACTCATTGGTCTTACATACTACCATGTAGTAAGATTATAAATAAATAAGAATAATAATACTTTTTTCTCATCAAAGATGCATTAAATTGATCAAAAGTGACAGTAAAGACTTAATGTTGCAACATACTTATACTTAAAAAAAAAAGTTCTGTTGGTGTGAACTTTCTATTCATCAAATAATCCTGAAAATAAAAAACTTTTCTGTCTGCACAAACGTTAATAATAATAGTAATAATAATAGTAAATGTTTCTTTAGCTGCAAATCAGCATATTAGAATGATTTCTGAAGGATCATGTGAAGACTGGAGAAATTATGCAGAAAATTCAGCTTTGCATCAAAGAAATAAATTGCATTGTAAAAATTTATTCAAATAGAAAACTGTTTTTTTAATTATATGTCACAATGTTGCTGTTTTTACTGTGTTTTTTTTATTAAATAAATTTGAAAAACCAAGCCCAAACTTTTCAAAGGTAGTATATATGTTGGACATTTGTGCATTATATGAACAGATTTTAGAGAGCAGAGGCAGAACAGGGAACTATTGTGGAATAGTTAGGACATTTTGTAGTCTGGATATAAACTTGAACTTAAAATTAAGTCACGCTCATGAGCATCAATATGCAGTTTCATTGGGCCTGAAACATGCTTTATGCAAGTTAATGAATGCAAGTACTTGATTTTTATGCATTGACAAGAAATTGTTGAATAAAGTCATTATTTTTGTTTTCTTTGTGCACAAAAAGTATTTTTGTAGCTTCATAAAATTAAGGACTATTTTAACGATGTCCTTACTACCTTTCTGGGCCTTGAATGTGTCAGTTCCATTGCCGTCTATGCAGGGTCAGAAAGCTGCTGGATTTCATCAAAAATATCTTAATTTGTGTTCTGAAGATGAACTAAGGTCTTGCAGGTTTGGAGTGACATGAGGGATTCATGACAGAATTTTCATTTTTGGCTGAACTATCCCTTTTAACATTTCAGCAAGTGCATGTTCAATTCTCAGCATGGCCACAAGGGGCCCTGTAGCAGACATTAGTGTTAACGTTCTTCTTCAGTGGTCATTTTTTTTCTGTCAGGTCAACAAGTATTGTTATGGAAGAGCAACAATTTATAGAAAATCTTGCAGAGCAAGTAAAAGTTAGTTAAACCGTAAACGTTTACAGACATTTGAAGGCAACTCTATTACCCTTTTAACCACTAAGGTTCATTACGGCCACAGTAACGCCAGAAAACGTTACATATGTTCAAACATTACTGTCTGTGATGGTTTAATTGGTGTAACTCCTTATCAGAGTTGATAAGTTATCCAATATGGCAGTTGTGAGGATTTTTTGTTGCTGTAATTACTATAGGGAGAATTTTATATAATTATTCTTGCAGAAAAATGGAACTGTCATATCATAAGTCCATTTTGTGCATCAAAGGAGATGGTGACTCTCACCTTTCCCTCTGATTTGGTGTCATTTTGTGGTTTTCCTATCTACACACGCCGCCTGCAAGGCATTAACCCTGTCCATCCCTCAGCCTCGATATCAAGTAATAACTAGTATATCAATGAAAAACAGATGAAGAAACCTGACGTAATCCAACCAATGCCTCTTTATTGAGTGTATGACGGCAAGATAACGAAACGATGGAGTAATACATCCTCTCGCCCCGCTGACTCCCAGTCAGAACCTAATCCCTGACCCAGGCCCGTATCTCGGACTATATGGGAAAAGAATATTCCCAGTCTCGCTTGATCCTCCCTCCCATATCTTTCCCCAGGGACTCATCTCCTGCAGCGCTGCAATTTAGAGCATTTCAGCCCTAGCTATGATCTTAATTAGCTACACCTCCATCCGATTTCTCTCTCGCATGCACTCTTTGCGTTCCTCCCTCCTTTTCTCTGTCTCTCGCTCCCTCTCTCTCTAATTAAGCTCAGAGTGATCCTTGGCCGAGGGCCTCCGTGCGGGCGAAGAGAGACAGAGAGAATCTGTTGGCCAGGGATTACAACCTTAAGCTAGGGCCACATCACAGGCAATCATCTCCCTCACCACCATCACCCCCTCCAATGTCCCCAAGTACCAGTGCAGCATCAGCCCATGTTGTCCATTAATT